AAAAAAAAAAAAGGTGAAAATTTAAGCAGAGATGGGACAACAAAAGACCCATCACTCACCATCTCATCTTCTAAGAGAATCTGAAAAGTGGAGCTTTGTGTTTTATAGGGCTTCTGTCTAAATGACTCGGTTAGACATTGTTTTCTAACAAGGAAGCAAAGACTGACTTTAGGATAAAAAGATTATTCAGCTCATCTACAAGGTACATTTGAGTAGACAATCAATGCTCTTTAGGGAGTATGGGAGGAAGATATTCTTTGAAAATCCTTCAACTACTAAATGCCTCTTTGCTACAATGGTCAAATGTATTTACTGAGATTCCAGAAAGACTGCTCAGATATGTGTTCGTATGCCTGCAGAGACCTCTGGTCCTGAACAAGTTGATCAAATTGTTGGCAAAACTGAATACATTTAGACTTAAAAGTGCAAATAAAAGAAGAGTAAATATCATAGTAAATATCAAATTTTCTTTTTTTTTTTTTTTGAGACAGATTCTTGCTCTTGTCGCCTTGGCCAGACTGCAGTGTACCATCGCTCACTGCAACCTCAAACTCCTGGGCTCAAGCGATCCTCCTGCCTCAGCCTCCCCAAAATGCTAGGATTACGGGCATGAGCCACCATGCCTGGCTGTAAGTACCTGATTTGCAATAGCACCATTTTGAGTACATATATACTTTTTTTTTTTAAAATAACTGCTTTATTGAGCTGTAATTCTTATACATACATTCACCCATTGAAGTTTATAATTCAGAAGTCTTTAGTATATTCACAGAGTTGTGCAAACATCACCACAATCAATTGGTAGAACATTTTCATGACCCCAGAATCCATGCCCCATAACATCACTCTCCATTCCCTCCCTAAATGATCTCTATTGTTTCTTTGCTCAACACTTTCTGCACACAGCAATCAGATTATCTTTTTGCAAACAAAATTATTATTTAATTTTTTGAGACAGAATCTCACTCTGTTGCCAGACTAGAGTGCCATGGCATCAGCCTAGCTCAGAGCAACCTCAAACTCCTGGGCTCAAGCGATTCTTCTGCCTCAGCCTACCGAGTAGCTGGGACTATAGGCATGTGCCACCACGCCTGGCTAATTTTTTCTATATATATATTTTAGTTGTCCAGCTAATTTCTTTCTATTTTTAGTGGGGTCTCACTGTTGCTCAGGCTGGTCTCAAACTCCTGAGCTCAAATGATCCACCCACCTCGGCCTCCCAGAGTGCTAGGATTACAGGCGTGAGCCACCGTGCCCGGCAAAAAAAAAAATGTAATGTCATACTTTTGCTTAGAAACTTATTGCCATTGGAATAAAATCCAGATTCCTTTCTGACTTATAAGTCTTTAGAATCTGGTTTGTGCTTGATTTTCTGGCCTAATTTCCTTCCTTATAGTTTACTAACTGATCAAATTTAATGTGTTAGTTACTTTAATGAGCCTTCTTCTCTTTCACATAGACAGGCTTTTCTGTCTTAAACAGCCTTCCCTCATTGACTGTTTACATCCTAGTTTATGCCTGTTTTCACTATCACTTGAGAACAGAGGTATTCTGCCACATTCATTATATAGCTATATATTTATTTATTTATTCTTTTTGAGACAGAGTCTCACTTTGTTGCCCAGGCTAGGGTGAGTGCCGTGGTGTCAGCCTAGCTCACAGCAACCTCAAACTCCTGGGCTCAAGCAATAATCCCGCCTCAGCCTCCAGAGTAGCTGGGACTACAGGCATCTACCACCATGTCTTGCTAATTTTTTCTATATATATTAGTTGGCCAATTAATTTCTTTCTATTTATAGTAGAGACAGGGTCTCGCTCTTGCTCAGGCTGGTTCGAACTCTGACCTTGGCAATCCGCCCACCTCAGCCTCCCAGAGTGCTAGGATTACAGGCATGAGCCACCACGCCTGGCCTATAGCTATATTTTTTATAAATAACTTTCAATAGTTTAGCATAGAGCCTCTACAGTTTAATGAAAGTTTTATTATTTTTTATTTGTTTTATTTATTTATTTATTTTTGAGACAAGTCTCACTCTACTGCCCAGGCTAGAGTGCCGTGGCATCAGCTTAGCTTGCTGCAACCTCAAACTCCTGGGCTCAAGTAATCCTTCTGCCTCAGCCTCCTGAGTAGCTGGGACTACAGACATATGCGACCATGCCGGGCTAATTTTTCTATGTATTTTTAGCTGGCCAATTAATTTCTTTCTATTTATGGTAGAGATAAGGGTCTCCCTCTTGCTCAGGCTGGTTTCGAACTCCTTACCTTTTGCGATCCTCCCACCTCGGCCTCCCAGAGTGCTAGGATTACAGGTGTGAGCCACAGTGCCCGGCATGTTTAACCACTTCTGTCTACTTCTGTACGGCGCTCACCGGCCTCAAAACCTTGCTCACAGCCAGCACTCATAGTCCACACGATAGTCTGTGCTGTGCATTGACGATGAATCCGTTTTGCTCGTGTGATGAGAAAAGCTTTAAAGTACTGAAAGCTTAGAAAAAAAAGTTGAAAGCTGTTTTACTTTACAGGCAGCTTTATTTGTATGTAAATCAGAATAGGTAACATCATACACTGTATGGTTTCATTAATTATTTTAATGTTCACAATTTTATTTCGATAAAATGAAAAATTAGAAGTCATATCACGGCTTGCGCATAAAGTCGCTGTGCGGCGGCTCATCTGTGGCTGTCGACTATAGTTGATGCTGGGCTGGCGGGTCCATCTGTGGCTGTCCACCTAATGTAGTGCGTCGTACTTGAAGTGGTTAACTGAAAGGTTTTGAATGGAATTTCTAGCATCAGTGCATTTGCGCTTCTGTTGTATACACTTATTTTTTTTTTTTGTAGAGAAGTCACTGTTAGGCCTGGCACGGTGCTCACACCTATAATCCTAGCACTCTGGGGCTGGGCGGGTGTATTGCTCGAGGGTCAGGAATTTCGAAACTAAGCCAGAGCAGAGCAAGACCCTGTCTATACTATATAGAAAGAATTAATTGGCCAACTAATATAATCAGAAAGAATTACGCAGGGCATCGGTGGACGCAGCCTGTTAGTCACCAGCCTACTTGGGAGCTGAGCAGAGGACTGCTTGAGCCCAGGAGATTGAGGTTGCTGTGAGCCTAGGCTGACGCCACGGCAACTCACTCTAGCCAGGGACAAAGCGAGACTCTGTCTTCAAAAAAAAAAAAAAAAAGAAAGCATGTTTAAATTGTGATATCATTCAGTTTTTGCAAAGTTCCAGTAACAATAGGAGAACCAACTTACAAGAAGACAGAACGCAGAAACAAAAAAGGAAAGAGAAAAAAAAAAGAAGAAGAAATTAGGGAAGAAGAAAGAAAGAATCAGCGCAAAATCTGTGAAATTTCCATTGATTTGTTTTAGCATTAGAATTCTGATTATTAGCATGAGCGGAATAGTTACTCACGTATTGCTCATGTAATACACAGCTCATCATAA